GATAAAAAAGCCCAAATAAGTGTTTAAGGGTAATCAAACCAAGGATCAATTCATTCAGATGCCATCAATCTTGTTTTGTTTGACTTGGATATGCCTTGCTGGGGATTTTTCCATCATCTGGATCCCTCTAGACTGCCAAATTTTGGATTCATTTCCATTTTCTCATATCTCCAGCATTTCTTGCTCTTCTTGTTTGTACTTGATCAACCTTGTAACTTGAGGTTCAATAAGTCACCCATCTTGATTCAATTTTCCTTCTTCTTTTTTTCCTTTTTATTTTTTTTATTTTTCTTTTTTTTCTTCTTCTTTTTTTTTCTTCTTCTTTCTTTGCTGGATGAGTATAATACTTCAATTGCTTTGAGCACCTCCTTTTCCTTTTGCATTTTGGAGATTTTCCATTATTCTTGATTGGATTGATCTTCAAGCACTCTGTATTTGACATACCTTGTAGTTCAAAACTTTCTTGACTTCATGGAAACTTGTCTTCGTAATAAAACTGTATTGACAATCTTTATTCTTGTGAGCAAATATCCTTCACTTTACCCCCCAATATAGAGGGTGATCCTTGGTTAGGGTTGAATCAGAAGAAAAATCATTCAGGCTCAAGTGGGGACAACAAATTATATATATATATATATATATATATATATATAAAAGGATAAATGAAACAATGCCGTTCATCATCTCATACACAGAACCTTTGTAAAAAGAGGTATCTCCAGGGGGAATGAATATTCAAGATTAACTTTATTTACATGAAAACAATGTAATTAATGCATGATATATTTATTTCAATCAATCACCTCTTCTTTGAATATGTCCCAATCACTTGAAATCATCTTCGATAAGTTGGTCCATGATGCCTCATCTCATCTCATCTTGCAGGAAAATTCACGGATAACTGAAAGTTTGGTTCTTTTGAGGTTTTTTTTTTATGATGACATTGTATTTGGAAGAAATGTGTGACTTTTGAGGTCATATATATAGTGGAAGGGGTAATATCATAAACCAACCAACTCTATCCGAGAAGGTAAACATCTAGAGTTGGTGTCTCAAAAACAGGTAGAGACATTTCTTCAGAGTCTCAGATAAATGTACGGTCAAAATTTGGTTTTGTAAGGATCAAGTAATTGGCATTGGATGGAAGGTATAATTTTATCACTTGCCAAAGATATATAATTCTTAAAAAATTAAAAGAATATTTAATCTACTTGATACTCAATAATCTCAAGATTAAAAATTGATTCCTTGCTCATAACCTTAATAAGCAACACAAATTTATTTATTGCACAAAAGGTGGAGAGATGAACAAAAACAAGTTTAAACAGGATGCTGAAAATAGAAAGGTACTACAGTGGTAGATAACAACTTCCACTTGTTTATGCATCATGCCTCATTATTCCTATAATGTTGGGTATGTAATAGGATCAGGGATCTTTTCTTCATTCGCCCCGCATTTCTTGATTATTTCTTGTGTCAAAACCCTTTTGTCAACAAGCATCTCAATTTCTTTTAACAGTGGCCTACAATTGCCTGTAGAATGCCCCTTTATCCACAGGTGGAAATTACAAACACTATCTTGATCATAGCTATGAGCAGAAGGGTTTGATGTCACTTTAATTGGTCTTGGTCTGATGTATTGACCTTTAACCAAATGAGGATACAAGTCTGAAATGGAAGTTTGGAACACTTCCAAAGTTTTTCTTGATCGCATGACTTTCTTTGGTCGATCCGAACAATTACTTGCTCTTTTTCTTTTGCAAATGAGGGAACTCTGGATACGACACTCATTTACATCATCATCTTTCACTTTTTGATCCGTCGGGCTCTTGGATGTGACTTTTGAGTTTTCTTCACTGATTACATTCTCAATTAAATCTCCACTTGTCACAAGATTCCTGAATTCCTTTGTCGGATTTGCATGCATTAACTCGAAGAAAGGCGCTGGAAGGGAATCACGAAACATACGTGATATCTCTTCTTCTAACATGGGAGGTTGAACTTGTGCTGCCACTCCTCTCCATCTTAAGGCATATTCTTGAAATCTTTCATTGGTTTTCTTTTTTACTCTTCGAAGATCCATACGTGTTAAGCCTTTAACATACCGATATTGTCCCAAAAATGCATCAGCTAGATCAACCCATCTCTTGATCTGTTCTTGGGTCAACTGATTGTACCATACTACTGCTGGGCCAACGAGGCTATCATGGAAAGAGTGAATTAACATATCATCAGAACTTAAATATCCTTCCATTTTTTTCTGCAAAACATTCTCAAATGGATTAAAGGACAACTGGTTCCATCATATTTTTCAAAATTTGGCATTTTGAAATCACGGGGAATAACCAAGTGTGGAACCAAGCTGAGCTCTCTTGCTTCTAATTCTTTGTGGGAGGCATCAACACTTTTAATATTTCTGATTGCTTCATCCATCCTCTTGAATCTTTCCTCATATTGTGAATAATGAACAAGACTATTCTTTGGGTTCAATTGAGATGCCCCAGAGGGTTTTACCATTTTCGACTCTTCAATCTGACAGCATGGTTGCTCTTTATCAATTATCTCTTCTTTATCAGATGCCATTCCCTGAATAATTTGATTTGATCCATCTGGTACTGAATCTGATGCTTATTTCCTTGTATCCTGAGGTAACCCTGTCAATTGTTCTGGCCACTGGTCTTGTAGTCCCTTATAAGATTGCTCCATTGTTTTTATGATGATGGTAAAGTAATATGTATGAATGATCTTGGTTTTTACTGTTACAAAACCTTTCATGAATTATTTACATGTTTTTATAATTAAAGTACATAACAATACTTAAATAAAAATGTGAAAATGCATAAATGGAAAAATAAGAATGCAAAATGTGCAATTCAAAGGCAAACATAAAAGTATGAATGCAAAATGAAAAATGTAAAGATGCAAAATGAAAATGCATATATGAAAAGGTATTTACTCAAGAGTGATTATCTTAGAATAGATTTCATTGAACACAAAAGTTTCGGTACATCAAACAAAACTTTTACATGTAGGGAATAGCTTTCACTCTTAATTTCTCTATTTCACTTAAAAGCCAAACTAACTTCCACTCATACTCAGGTGTGGAGTTATCCATCTGCTTTAATTCTCTCGTGAAGCCAGCTAAGTCCACCAGCTTATGAGCCACATTGTTTGCTTGAGCAACAACTTCATTCATGACATTGTCTTTTTCCTTCATCCTTTGTGTCAATTCTCGAAGTTGTAAACAATGTTGTTCATTTTTTCTTGTGAGAGAATCTTTGTGTTCAAAAAGTTCTCGTACAAGATCTCCATAATCATCTAAACAATTCTTCAATGTCTTGTTCTTGTCTATAGTGGCTTCTAATTCAGTATCAATCTCATGCTGATGGATCTGATATGATGCTTCCCTATTGGTCATAGCACTATTTAACCTTTGATTGTCGACTTGATATTTTCTCGATTCCATGACAGTTGTATTGAGTATTTCTTCTGCGACTTGTAAATCATGAGAAAACTTCTTGGCTCGTCCTTCATTTATATTGCAATTCTTTTTTCAGTTTGGTGACCCTTGTTATCCACTCTTCTGGGGTGTTTCCTATGCCAGCATTTTGAAAGGCTTGACTGACTTTCTGGAAATCTTCATGTACGGTTTCCATTTTGGTGCTCAATTTATCGTTTTCAATCTTTAAATGACGTATTTGAGCTTCAAACCTCAGCAAATCTTCTTCCATCTGGGCGCCCCTATTGATACTCTTACCTTTGAAGACTTTTGGTATTAATCTAGCAGGACCTTCGGTTACCAAACTAGGTCGATCATTTACCATAAATTGTAAGGTTCCATGATTCAAAAGACTTTGGACTCGACGTTTAAAGGAAAGATAATTCTCGATAGTATGTCCTTGAGCTCCGACATGATATTCACAATAAATGTTGATGTCATACCAATTCGGATATGGAGGTTGGAATGGTTTTATGTAATATGGGGCTACTTCTCGTGCTTCAGGTAACTTCTCATATAACTTTTTATATGATATATGGATAGCATCAAAATGAGAACCACCTTTTATCTTGGGTCGGGAGCAGACTAAACTTCGATGATTTCAGATTACATGATTTCTTCTCATCTCTGGGAGCTTTTACAGTGGTCACTATTTTTTTGGTATCTCCATACGATTTGTGAATACGAATGATGATTGACTGTAATTTTTCAAGTTGGTTAAGATCCGAAGTCCCTTGCGTATCTGACATTGCAGGGTTAAGTTCATTGAGCTATTTCTCTTTCCATGCAGGAATTTCTTTTCCTTTGTCCAAAACAGATATTCTATCCATCATCCTGGTCATTTGCTCTCTTATTTCTCGTATCTCCTTTTGCTTCTTAATGGACATACGATCTTTGGGTGCATAACTCTCCTCTATCTTCAGAGTTCCCTCAGGATGTCTTTTCTTGGCCGCATCATATTTTGTTTGATCATAAAACTTTTTGTCCATTTACGATTTCTTTCCAATATGATGAACAGTCTTTCAAGTCAACACCTTTTGATTATACCATGATCGTGCAATGCAAACAAAAGAAATCAATATGAACAGATTAGAGCAATGTAACATGCATAAAAAAAATAAGAAAAATAGAATAGTTAGTACCAACTAATGGAAAGAAAAGTCTATCTATCAAGGTATAAATCTTAACCTCATGCTTTCTAGTTCCATGCTTTGTTTGGAAAAATTACCCTAACTGCATGATTTCTAGTTCACATGCATTTATTCAGAGAGGAAAATAATAAATTAAAAGCTAAATCTTATTTCTTCTTTGTGTACACTTACAGACAAATGTTCAGTACTGTCTTAGATCAGGAGAATTTCTAGGGTTCATTATATGCAGGGTTTTTAGTTCTAGGAGTAAAGGTACTCGAACTGTCCTTGTTGATACCCCCTTGGGCTGTCATCCCTCAATCCTAGTCCATTACAGACTTAAATGGATCGAGTTCAATTCGAGGGGACACATTTCTCTATACCTAACACGGAGAATAAATTCTCACGAAGACATAGAGCATATGAACCCTGAAAATTACTTGCTAGGTCTGACACGGAGAATAAATTCTCACGAAGACGTCGTTTTCACTCCCACTTAAAAGGGATAAACTTGATTAGAAAGCATATGTTATGCAATGCAAGTGTTGTGTGTGAGGAGAAATGTTCAAACCTCTAACAGACAAATAAAATAATTAATACCTGAATAAAATAATATTAATAAAATAATATAAAAATAATAAGTAATAAAAAATTTGAAAGAAAAGAATTAAAAATTAAATATATGAATTTTTAATTTCCAACTGATAGAGACAATTTTTAATTGATTTTAAAGTTTGATCGTCCCCAGCGGAGTCGCCAAGCTGTCGTAACCGGTTTTCGTCCGGGCACGAATTTTTTACTTGGCGGGAAAAGTGATATGAATAAATGGTTTTTAAAATAATTTGGGAGTCGCCATCGGCCTTTTGGGTCAGGTAGGTCGAATACCTAAAAATCATCCTTTTAAAAGAGTTTTTAAGAAAACATCAATTAAAAGATAAACTGATCTGCGTTTTAACCAAAAATTCGTTCTTTTTAATAATAAAAAGGGATTCATGGTCGATTACGTTTAGGGAAGGATTAGCACCCCTACAACGCCCAAAATTGATACTTTTTAATTATAAATTGTCTCTATTATTAGAAATTTAAAAATTTAAATATATATTTAACTTATAATATTTTTTTATTTCAAATTTATGATTTTATGAAAATATATTAATATAAATAAGATATTTATTTATTTAGAAATATCAGAAAAGGGCTTCTAGGTACTTTAAGACAGCTATTTTCTTTGATATAGAAATAAATAAAACATTTATTAAAAGTTAATATAGGATTTATAAAAATAGGATATTTAGTAAAAATATCAGAAAACGAACTTCTAGGTGTTTTAAGACAGTCCTTTTCTTAATATTGAAAAATAAATATATATTATTAAAATATGATTATTAAAAGTAATTTATGAAATATATGATTTTAATAGAAAACAAATAGAATAAATAAACAAATATTATATATATATATATATATTTATTTATATAAATAATAAAAATAATAATAATGAAATAATAATTAAAGCAATAATAATAATAATATTGCAAATAATGATTAAAATAAAAGGAATTAAAAATATAGTATTAAAATGTAAAATATTAAAAATAAATAGTCAAAAATGAAAATTTAATGATTAAAATGTAAAATTATAAAACTAGAGTCCTAATTCGAAATATATAAAAGATAGGCATTAAAAGTGTAATTTAACCATAATTCATAATACGGGATTAAAATAATAATTACTAAACTATGAGGGACTAAATTTGATATTTACCCTAAAAATATATATATGCTGATAAGGACTAAATTAAAATAAAATAAAATTAGAAGACTAAACTAAAATAATCAGAAATCAATTTCAGTGACTAAATTGTAATGATTACAAACTTGGAGCACTGCGGACAGGGTTTACCCTCTTCCCAAAACGCACCGTTTCATCATGAAACGACGTCGTTTTGTATCGGGTATAAATACCCCAAACGGCTGGCCCGAAGGGCCAGCTCTCTCATTTCTTCTCATTTCTTTCTCTCTTAAACTGAGAGAGAGATTTCTCTCTTAAACTGAGAGAGAGATTTCTCTTTCGCGTCTCTCTAGATTCCTCCAACCGGAGGAAGGCCGGCCACCAGTCGACAGTCGTCTGCCGCCGCTGACTCTACCGCCGGCCATCGCCTTCGGTGGCCGAAAATTTTTTTTACACTAAAATACAGCCCTAATTTCCCCAAGGTCGAGTTCGACCTTTGTTTCCCCTAAAAGACTCTTAATCGGAGTAGATCTATGAAAATACCTTCGGTATTTTCTGTTCTCCGGCGATGTTTAGTGCTTCCGGCGATGGTCAAGGCTCCAAGGGTAAGTTTCTTTCTTCTTTCTTTGTTTTCTGTTTTGGTTCACTGCTTGTAGTGGGTTCTCTCTCTTTGTACGTTGCCCTCCTCTCCTTTTTTTTATTTTGTAGGTGGTCGATGGCTTTTATAGCCATCGGTCTCAAATGGTGACCCTAGGTGAGTCACCGGACTATGGTGGTGACTCACCATAGGGTTTTAACGTGGGGGCAGAAACGAGGTGCTTCTGGAGGCTTCGGTTGAAGGTGGCTTCGTGTAGGCGTGGCAGCTGGCTGAGACGTCGACGTGGGGCAGCTGGAGGCAGAGGCGCCACGTGGTCCCTAGGGTATCATAACCCTAGGGTTTCTTGTTGGAGCATCTGGGGACTGTTGGATCAAGGACAGATCCAACGGTGATGAGCAATGGCGGCTGGGAGCTTGTGATACAAACCCTAATCAATTTAGGATTTCTATTTGTAACTGGGCCTGGACCAAGTTGGGTCTGGGCCAGTATGGGTTGTAATTGGGCCTCCGGTCTGGTTTGTAATAAAAATAATAATATTATAAATATAATAATATTAAAATAAAATAATAATAAATAAAACAAATGGAATAAAAAAACTAGTGTCTTCAGTTGGCATGCCAACTATACCTATAGTTCTCATCTATATAACATGGGATTTTCCCAAATTACATAATATATCACATAGACATATCATTTTTTTACCTTCATCACATGGCTCATATAACTTTGTATACATATTCATTTAAAACATGTTACTCAATGCACATAGTATGAATTCATATCATGCTTCACAATATGAAATGAATCATGCATCAATGTATTGAATCTAGACTTCTCATAAGTCTAGAACTGAATATACCACTATATTCATGCTATGCATATGCACTCACCTATATTTCTTTGCCTTTTCCTCGATCGATCCTACTAAGCAATTGTTCTGGAACTTCTTTAGTCTCTGTATCTACATAGTAATTCATTGATACTTATCAGTATACTAATTAATATATTCTAAACTATCATTTTTTGGGTTAAAAGAAAAGCCATTTTCATCTTTTAATAGAGGTATGCATCGATGCACTACACCATGTATCGACATGTATCGATGCATCCCTTGACGGGTGCATCGATGCACTATCTATGCATCGGTACATAAATCCTATTCGATGTTTGTATTTAATGGGGTGCATCGATGCACTACTTGTGCATCGATACACTAATGATATTCGATGTTTTTATTTTAAAGGAGTGCATCGATGCACTTCATGTGCATCGATACACCTTGAACAATTTCTGGGATTTATCCTTGACGCATCGGTGCAAATTGAATGTGCACGATGCACATAGCCCAGAAATGTCATTTTAGCACGAAAATCTCTTTATAATCCTCTCAACACTTTATAATTCACCTCCTTTTACATCCCTAACTTGCATGGACTTACTTAAACTAATTATTATCCATTCGATACCTTTAAAACTTAGAAATCCAATTCTCCATATAAAATTTAAGAATTTCACTCAAATTCCAACATGTTTTAAATCGAATTCTGACACTTCATATCCTTTAATTAGCTTGATGACAAGTCAAATCCCACTTTAATTCTTATTATGAACTCTAATCCAAAATTTTACTTTTCTACTTCCTTTCTTTAATCATTCCTAACCCCATCATCTTATGGTTTTAAGATAACCTAAGCTTTCCTTAAGCTTAGTTATCATCTAATGATCAATAAGCAACCTTAAATTCATCAAAAATTTGATTAACAAGAAAATTCACCTTTAGTTTTGTCTTCACGGTGAAGAAGAAGAAGAAAAATCTGGAAACTTTTGCCTTCTCTACTAACTTCCACGTGGTTATAAAATCTCATCAACTAATATTTAATTGTTTTCCTTGTCAAAAGACTCATTTGCCCCTTTAATTCCACATTCTTTTCTAATTGATCCTACACCAAACATTTCAATCAATTCTTTGAACTTTCCAATTTATCCAATTTGGTCACTGAATTTTTAAATCTCGTAATTTAATCACTAACCCGGTATGGAAGATGTTACAAAACACATCTCTTGTATGTAACTATTCCTTAACTCTCTTGCTTTCTCTAAATTTCTCTAAGGCTGTTACTGACAAGATAGGAACCGATACCTCATGTAGCTTCCCAGATAGTTTGGGAGATGAACTAATTGTTGAAGTTCAAGACTCCAAGGGGAAGCATTTGGGTCGTGTCCTTGTACAAGTGGCTGCTGCTGCTGAAGATTTGGTATTGTTCCAAAATACCGACAATTAGTTCTACTTAATTTGTAATTTTATTTTATTTAATAATGTTCATATGAAAGTTGAATGTAGACAGACAAGATGCGCTGGTGGTCTATTTACCATGAGCCAGAACATGAACCTGTAGGCAAGCTTCAGCTGTATATACACTACTCAACTTCAGATGATAATAGTCATCTCAAGGTGAACTAGTCTTGATTAGCTTAAACTTTTAAATCGTAGTTCCTTAATTAATTGTATTGATGTTTGTAGCTCATAGTTTGAAGAAAGAAGGTTTGGTCCATTTGTTTGCTTTCAATTTGGTACTATTGTTTAACATTTAGTTGTTTAATCTAAAAAATGAATTAATTCTGCAATGGTTTTGTGATATTAATTGCATTCTTTTTTAGTATGGTTATGTTGCAGAAACAATTGCTTATGACCTTGTCTTGGAAGTTGCAATGAAGGTTCAACGATTCCAACAAAGAAATTTATAATTATATGGATCATGGAAATGATTGTTAACAGAGTTTGCCTTGTATTATGGAGTTTCTGATGTCTACACCAAGCTAAGGTAATTGAATTTTGCCTTTTCTTTTATTTTTTTTGTCCTGTTGGCATTCATATTTTAGAAGGTTATTGTTTTGGTCAATGTTATAAGAATCAACAAGTTTATTTTTCTAATACAAATATGATAAATAAAGTTTATTTACAGAGAATTCAGTAAAATAAGTAAACATCATCTTACATTTTGGTAGGAGTAAAATAATTCATCTATTAAAATTTTATATACTTATTTAGTTAAATATTGATGTAAAATTTTAATATATTTTTAGATAAATAATGTAAAAAATAATATTATTTATAATTAAAATAATACATGATATATTTACTCTTTTATTCTACTCATTTATCTTTTAAATTTTATAAAAAAATTACATATAAATTTTATTAAAAAGTATATAAATTTAAAATAATAAAATAATATATTTTTGATAATTTTTTATATAAATATTTTTATTTAAATATTTAGAATTCCACTTATTAACACATATAGAACAAAGACAATTTGGTAAAATACATGTTCTAGTAATCTCATATTCCTTCAACCAAACACTGTAATTATACATTCATGCCAAACATACTAAACACAGTAATGTTACATTTCCAATAATGTATCAGATAATGTAACATTCCGATAATCTCATTCTGAGGGTAATGTCATATTCCATGAACCAAACGCACTTTCATGATATTCCCATTATTCTTCTTCCCCAAGAGGTGGCTGAAATTTAGTTGAATAAAGTGTTAGCAGATTGTAATGATTGAATGAAATCCAGAATTTGTCGCGTTTTTGGGCTGGATATTGGTTTGGAAACATAAGCACCTTCCCCTGATACTACGGGTGTAAATGAGCCGAGTCGAGCTCGACTCGAACTCGAAAATTTTAAATGTAGGTTCGACTCGACTCGAAAATTAGCGAGCCTAAAATTTTCAAACTCGACTCGAACTCGAAAGATAATATTAAAACTCGACTCGAACTCGAAAAGGCTCGAACTCAAAAAAAATTCAAGAGCTCGATTGAAGCTCGAGACTCGAGCTCGATTGAAGCTCGATTTTGAGCTCGATTTTGAGCTCGATACAAGCTCGATTCAAGCTCGAATTCGATTAAAGCTCGAACTCAAACTCGAATTTGATCCTTAGGGGTAAATTAGCTTTAGGCTCTCTAAATTTATGCGTTTTGTACAAAACAGTCCCTCAATTATTTAAATTTTAGCTTAAATTAGTCCTCACAATTAGATTTTTCTTAATTTAGTCTCTGTTTAGGATTGTTTTCTTTATTTAGTTGTGTATATTTATTTTGCATGTTGATATGTTTATGTATAAGTATGTGAATAATTTATTTATGAGCCACATAACATCATTTTGCATAATTTGTATGTTACATCATGGCATAACTTAAACCCTAATACATAAACCCTAAACCTTAACACATATACCCTAAACCCTAAACTTTAAACCTTAAATCCTATTACATAAACCTTAAATCCTATGAAATAAACTCTAAATCCTAAACCCTACACCTTATCACATAATTAATTATGAGGTAAGTACAATATAGTATCTTGATATTAAATGCTCAAACCCTTGATATTTATGATATTTGAACCCAAAACCTCAAAATATAACAACAATTTAAAAAATTAGTTATTACAAATATTTTCATTAGAAATATATTAAATATTTGTCAATAGAGAAATAATTTTTTTATCAATTTAAAATAAATATAAGAATATTTATTCAAAAATAATTTTTAACCATTTTCAATTCAAGAATATTTATTCATCAATAATGTATTTTTAATATATTTTTAATAATGTAATTTTAAAAAATATAAAATTATAATATAATATTTTTTCGAGCTGCTCACGAGCTTTTCGAGTCGAATATCGAGTAGCTCGTTTCGGCTCGTTAAGAACTCGAGTCGAGTTCGAGCTCGAGTCGAGTCAATTCGATCCGAATATTTATCGAGCCAAGATCGAGTCGATCTCGAGTAACTCGCGATCTGTCTCGTCTCATTTACAGCCCTACCTATACTACTTTGAGGGGGTAATGTGTGGAAGCAGATGAAGCCACGATGGTCGCAGGCTCATGACATTTTTCCGATGGATGACATATCTCTGACAATCGAAGATTGGGTTTTGTGCCAGTCTCATCTATAACTACTCGCATTTCAAGGAGTGAATGGAAAAGTGGCAGCGTGGCTTCAATGCCATCTCCCTCGTTAGGGATAATTTAGGGGAGGCAAAGAGTATTTTTTTTTATAATTTTTGGACCAAAATAACACATTTACCAATTAATAAACATCAATATGAATAATTTAAATTATAATGTAACAAATCAAGAATATATAAAGCTGAGCAATGTTCTTATAACACACAGCAGTAACCACGAAGGCGCACAAACATGAATGTTATTCTAGCTTCAGCTCTTTTAACGCATGCAAAGTATAGTTGCCTTTGATCCTTGGTTACATTAAAGGATCTTCTAGACCTACGTCAACCGGAAAAATTCAAGTTCAACAAATAAAAAAAAAGCAATAAAACGCGTGGACAAGGGTAGTCTTTAGTCTTTTCATCACTACTACCTACTATGTGATTGTGTGTTGGGTGAGGATTGGAACCAACATGTAAAAATACAATGCCATAAATACATCTATCACTTCCAACCTATACAGGTGGAGACAACTCTCTTTGACATAAATAGGCATTTCCTACATGAATCCTAGAGATTTTAACAACTAAACCTTTTAAGAAAATTGGTGCCAACCAGTAGCCAGTTCATTTGAGACAAACAAATATCGGGAATTATATAATGGATGATGCAAGTATATTTAACAAAAGCATACTTCCCAACAAAAAAGGGAGCAGCATATGACTAACCTTTATTTCTTGGGAAAGGAAAGGTGTATGTTTTACTCATTGTCTTCTCGACCATAATCATACACAATCTCAATCTGCATCAAGAATGAATAAAAAACAATTCGTAATAGTAGCTGACAACACCCAAAAGATATAGGTCAACTAAGCAACAAAATAAAACACAGCACCACATTTATTGGGAGGTTGCAAGCACATTAAAGAGCAAGATGATTTCCCATTTTCCTTCACCCCACCTTGCTCGAGCAATATAAATAATGTCAGTAGATCAAGATTAAGATAAAACCCAATTGCAGAAAGAAGTAATTATAAAAATGCATGGAAGAATGAAAAACAAAAAAGGTTTTTCTTGCTACTTTTCTTTTGCTCTGCAGTATAATGGGTCGATAATCATTGTGAATGCATGACATGAAGAAGTAAAATGTGAGAATAGCACGGGATGTGAGAGGAGCAATCTCAAACTAACCGGTCAAACTACCGGAGATGGCAATAATTACCCGAGATGGCGGAACAGGATTCCGAGTAAACTTGGGACCGCCAGGCGCCCATGGAACTGCAAATTGATATTATATGTGAGCTTCAAACAGCATAATAGGTTTAAAACTGGAAAATAAGAACCTCATAAGAGACCTACCTATAGTCAGACAATTCAATCACGTCATAACATGAGCAAGACCCAATCGATAACGAACCATTGGTGATAAAACACAAGAATGCATGTGGAAAATAGATTCCACCAAGCAATAAGAGGCAAAGTGATGGAAATAGTTAGGTAGCATTTCTCTTAACCAACATCTGCAAGCACTGGTTCTCATGTTGCACGGTTGTCACAGTTAATATGGGTTCAGGATTTATCCCATTTTTCAGGAATTTGAACTAGTTTCCTCTCAATTGTTTTAAAAGTTCAAAGAATCGTATGAATCCAAAACTGCATTTGAAAGTTTATTCCACAAAATAATTATTGAGATGACATAAACTGTCAATATCCTATCTCTTTTAAACAAGTCTAAGCATCAGAGGAAAATGGAACGATTTGGTATCCCCATTAATTCACCAAAACTCTCTTTGTAAAACCACCGTATTAACCATTACACTACTCACCGATATCAGGATGCCGCCACTTGTTATAAGTTGCTTCACCTGCAGCTATCATTTTGTCAATCGTGTCAAGATCTTTCTGCAAAAAACCCACCAAATTATACAAATCCAACATCACCAAAGATACAAAGTGAACGACTACAGCAATCACCATTTACATGAGTCCTTAATGAGTGCAATGCTGGATGCCAATGAGCTCAAATTATCATCATAGGAAAAAAACACTATTTATATATAAAAAAAAGAAAAAAATGTGAGATGTGACTGAGAAATCTGGAAAACAAACCACTTGCTTGTGAAACTCGAATTTCTCGCGAAGGTCAGAGGCCTAAAATGCATCAAATAAAGTTAAAATCGAAGATTCAATTAAATGAAACAAAGAAAATAAGAGGGAGGAAAATTAGATTGAAGAAATAATTGCATCTTGATAGAAGAGGTGGCGATGGACGGCCCAGTTGAGGGTGTCTTTCAGGGCACGGCGGTAAAGGATCCGAACCCTCTCCTTTTGCACTGCTCTACGAGCTAAATACGCCGCTGTCGTGGCTGCACTCATTTCGGTAGCCTTTTCTTTTCTCTCTCAGGTTGACAGTGATAGGTTCTTCCCACTCAGTCTTCAGGTTTGCAATGGAAGCGATGATCTAAGGCTATTGTAGTGTATACATTGAGTGAGTCGGGTGATAAAAAAAATCGATTTGATATATTGATTCCATCTATTTTCTTTTTTATTTTCAGATAGTTTGAATTAGATAATTTAAAAAAAAATAAAAAAATAATGGAATATAACAAGAATCATTTAAAATTTATTTTTACCGATAAAGATTAGTCGAAGTGTTAAATAATTTGATATTATTTAAACAATGTCGAGTACTAGTTATGTAGAAAATTTCTGTTAGGAGACTCATTTAAAAAAAATTAAAATTTATTTTCAGATTATCAAAAGATCATTATGTCTTTAAAAAATAGGTTAAACTATACATTTAGTGTCTATACTATCAATTTTGATCTTTTTTAGTACCTAAACGTTTATTTTTTTAAATCATATTCAAATTTTAGTTTCTATTTCATTTTAGTATCTCGTTGTTAAAAACTTAACTCGTTTAATACCTAAATTATAAGATTTGGCCCGTTTTAGTACCTAACCTTCCAAAATTTTAAATTTAATGTTAAATTTTGAACGGCTACTAAAGTCAAATAAAAACTAAAATTTTTAACGGTTGTACTAAAATGAAACAAAATCTAACTTTAGGTATGATTTTGAAAAAATTAAAATTTCAACTATTAAAATAGACAAAAACTAATAGTTTAAGTGCTTAATGCATAATTTACCCTAAAAAATTCTACCCAGACCTAATAATATCAAACAGCCTACCCTCACCTCCCTTGAAATGCTAGCGCCCCTAGCATTTACCGTAATGCCTTACAGATTGAATTAGCAGTCCTTGCTCAATACAATATAGACATGGATCTATCCTTGTGCAAACACATGTTTTTGTACGGATCTTTTATATTACTATTTAATTATTATTTATTATTATTTATTATTATTATTATTATATTAATACAAATAACTACATTTTGTATGCAGGCCATTACAAAGCAGCCCATACTCGAGGCCCAGTACCCAGACCTAGATTTCAAGCCAACAGTGACCCAATTGATACCCAGCAAATTACAGACCCGGGGACCCGAACCGACCTGAATCTGACCCAAGACTCGAATCGGACCAGCAACCAACCAGACAGTCGCCGTCTCTGACTTTACAGCTTCCGAAGCCGCTCGTGCTCTCCACATCTCGTGTCCCCGCGCGCATGAGCGGCCGCCAAGCTATCCCGAGCCGCTGATGTCATCTACAATGACCGGAAACTGCACCAATCAATCAACAACAATGAAAAACATAGAAAATCTCTCAAATCTTATCCTAAAATATAGGATATTATTATTACCCTACACCAAATCTATCAAATCTGTCAACAATAAGCAAAAAACGGGGGAACAAATAAAGGAGGCATGCAAGAGAGAAAGGGAGGACTCGGGGGTAGAGAGAAAAAAACAGAAAAGAAAACCATTGGAGGGGATTCGGTGATAACCAGAAAAAATAGAGAGAAAGTGTTAAAAAACAGAGAAAAAGATACCAGTTCGAACCAAAAGAAAAAAAAGAAAATAGAAAGGAGAAGGAGGCTCTTACCCTTTGAGACCGAAGAATCTACCTCGTCAAAGAAAAACCTTTCTTTCTTGGAGGTACATCCTTATCCATCGTAAATCTATGTTTTAAAGGAGTGAGGTTGTGTTTTGTTTTTATTCAAACGGGTTTATGAGTGAACAAAGGGGGGCTTTTAGGTTTCTAGTGGGTTAAGGGGAGGTCTTCAACGAATGGGTTTGATATTTTCGGCCACCAAACCACGGTAACCGGAGCTGGTTTGGCCGTTTGGATCTAAGGGAGGTGAGGAGTTTGAGAGAAAGTTGGGTTCTCTGTTTGGCAAAGAGGAAGAAAAATAGGGAAATGAGGGAGAGATGATAACTTTGGCCCTATTTTGGGGTTTATAAGCTCTTCAATGCAACACCGTTTACCGGGGGTTATCCATTTTTTTTAGTTATGGGATAATCACACTCTTGGTCCCTATGTCTTTGTAAACTCACCTAGCATGTTTTTGTATTTGGGGTAATTTAATGTGTAGGTTCTTGTATCTTTGTAACCTTACTTTTAAACTAATTAATGAAGTTCCATCATCTTTGATTTCGAGCACTTACATTTTAGCATTTATATTTAAGTCCTTAGTTTATTTTACCATATTTGTTTATGTTTGACATTAGTTACCACATTTGTAGATCTTTCATTTTGGTCACTGCTATGTATTTGGTTTAATTATTACTTAGTCCTCCATGTCTCTGTGTAATTTCATTTTAGTCTTTTACATGATTTATGGGTTATTTTTAGTTTTAGTACCTGTATTGTTTAATATTTGCAATCTGGGCTTTGTTTTATTTGTAATTAATTTTTAGTCCTTTAATTTTCTATTTTTTCTTTTGTAGTCCCTTATTTTTATTTTCACTATTTAGTCCTTAAGTGTATGTAATTACTGTTTTGGGCCTTCAAGTTTCTATTTTTGATATTTTAGTCCTTTAATTTCAAGTTTTTACTGTTTAACCTTTTAAGATTATGTTTTTACTAATTTCGTCCTTAGGTTTCTATTTTGTGCTGTTTTAGCCCTTTAAATTGTTATTATTACCATGTTAGTCCTTGTAATTATAAATATTTACATGTTGATTGTAATATTGATTTGTGTTTATGTCAATCCCTTAGGTATGTACATATTTATGTTATGTATTTATTTGTATTATATGTAAATAAATATGTTTAACTTATTTGTTATAAATATTTATTTTGCATATTTTATTTATATTTGTTTCCATTGTATTTCTTTATTTAAATATTGTTCGAATATGTTTCGAGAATGGTATTTGTAGAATGGGCGTGGAAAGCACCACTTTATCGAAGTGATGTAATCCAATATGACATTCGAATCAAATACAAACTTGAAATAAGTTAATTGTATTTTGCTCATTATTAATTCATTTCACTTTAATTTGAATATTGCAATGAATGTTTAAATAATAATTTATTTCATTTCATGCAAATTGTTGATCTTAATTGTACATTTTATATTCGATTTATTTTTAGTTAATTAATTTATTTTTTAAATGTAAACGTCGTTTTTTCCCATTTATATTCGATTCATATTTTTAAAATCAATGATGAGGGAATATTTTTTATTGATAAGAAATAGTCGAGTTAGCTTTCCCGATGGAGGATTATTAATTTCAAGATTTCTTTTCGAGTTAAAGATTTTTCTCAAATTAGTCAATTTGAAGTAAATTAATCAATGTTCGATAAATGGATAACATTTTAACTTTATATTTGACTCGTAATTTCCACTATTTACGACGATGTGTAAGCGACACAATACCAATTTTGGGCGTTGTGGGGGTGCTTACCCTTCCCCACACGTAATCGACTCCCGAACTTGTTTTTAATCGAATCTTTGGTAATCGCACACCAGTTTTTTGTCTAAAAATGTTTTTTTCTTAAATTGTTTTAAAAAGACGTTTTTAGGTATTCGACCTACCTAACCCAAGGTCGATGACGACTATCCAATTTATTCCAAATCAAATCCAATAGACCAATTTTCCAAATAAAGTCATAACTGTTTTTTAAAATATATTTAATTATTTTCCTAAAAAAATGGTTATGACAGGTTGGCGACTTTGCTGGGGACTTTTTTTGAGAGAGTAAAGCTGTAAGTCGCTTACACATTGTTGTTGTGGTGGAAATTATGAGTTCGAGTCTTTAGTTAACTTATGATCCGTTTATTAAAGTTTTTAATTGCTTCTTTTTTTGTTATACTAACATTTGAATTTTTGCTTTCACATTTGTCAAAGTTTTTGTCGAGTTTTTTTCTCTTTTCCTTTTGAGTCAAAGGTAGGTACGTTCCTCCTAAAACACATCAAATACATTTGCATAACATAAGCTCTAGACATGAGCTTCGATCCAAATTAGTCAGGGTGATTGCTTTACTCTTGTAAGAATTTATTCGTCGTATGAGTTTTAGCAAATAACCCATGGGATACATACATTATGCCTTCGTAGGGATTTATTCCTCGTATGGGTATAAGGCAGTGAATCCACTCGAATTGAACTCGTTCTGTTTGAAACCTGTAATGGGTGAGGATCGAGGGTTTGGCAGCCCAAGGGGGCACCGACATCAAGGATAATTCGAGTACCCTTTCCACATAGAGCTGAAGCCATGCATATAGTGAACCGTAAAACGGTCACCCTAGATATAGTTATACTAAACCTTTGTCCGTCAGTAGGTACCCAAACTAAGTGTACACAAAGGAGGAGCATTTCTAAACCCTTATCTTTTGCTTTAAGTTCGTAGAATTTGTTTTCTTTTTGAATAAAAGCATGCGAACTAGATATCATGCGGTTAGAACCAATTTCTTGCAAATAGATCATTATGGGTAGAAAGCATGTCAGAGTAGGATTGCTATATATTGAAAGTATGTTCGGGTAGATATCATGACGGGGTAGGTGTTATATTCATCTCTGAATAACATTTTTATCCGTATAAATTATTTTACATGTACTAACTAATTTCTTTTTTTTCGTTTGTGTACATTAAATTGTTTATTTTGTTTGTTTGTGTCATTTGTTCGTTCTTCTTTGCTTTGTATTTCATCAAATGACATAATGCGAAAAGTATTGATACGCAAGGGGATATTCGAGAGAAAAATTTTCACAAGAAGAGATAAAAAATTTCAATCAAGCAATCGCATAAACAAACATGCATCGAGGGCTTAAAGAAGTTCATAGTACAAGAATGAGACTTGCTCGAAGGTCGTGCAACAATCGAGACTGAAACGATGATCCATTGAGTCAAAGAGTAATCCAGCATTAGATTCTCATTTATAATCATTTCATCGCTAGTCATCAAGGAGTGATACAATGATTTCAGCACCGCAAAGAAGAGATAAAAAATTTCAATCAAGCAATCGCAT